GGGCGGGGGGGGCACCCAGATGAATGGCACACAGGATGAAGCCACCATTTAGCCGAGCATGTGGGAACGTTCTAGCAGGACTTGATAATTACTCTGTGGTTCAACTAAGACAAAACTTACAAACTGAGTATGAGCGGAAAGACGGCGTTAACTTTAAACTTAGAGTTACTTAAAACTAAAGTTCAAAGTAAAGATTTTTCTTTTAAATACTTTTTAATTAAATTTCATAAAACCTTCCACTATTACTTACTATAAGCCACATTATTAGCAAAACATCAGCTAATCTCACGACTTGTTGGACAAAGGTTTAGGTTTTTCTTAGCTACAGTTTAGCTAACAGGTGGTTAGCTTTTAGACAATTAGCTTGAACTCTTTGCTATTTAGCTAGTTTTTAGCTTTGCCATTTTGTTTCACTGTCAGCTATTTTTCGCTAATAATTTATAATAACTTCTTGGCATCTTCTGTTTAACTCTTTAGCGGTTTATAATAGCATTTTTAGCAATTTCATAATTTTTGAATTTTTTTTTAGGTGAGCTTAGAAGTTATTAGCTATTAGCTATTGAGTAAACAATTGTATTTTCAGACATGATATAGATTTTGCAAATAATTGTCTGACACAACAGTATTTGTAAAAAAAATACCAGAATCAGTGCGTGCTACAGAAGGCTAGCTGGACATGTTCCCTTAGGTTTTTTGCCAACTTTGTTGTAACTCCGACACCTGCTCCACGCATTTATTCTCTTTACTTTTCTACAACTCATCTCAACACACTGTTGTTGGCCACAGTGGAGTTTCTGCTGTGCTCAGATCAGGGGGCGACTACTCTGCCTGACAGGAGGGGGGAAATATTTCGCCACTAGGGTTCCACAGCTGCTCACAATTACCTTTTGTTTGGATGGAGGCAGCGGGGCAAGGGCTACGGGGGTTAAAGTTGAGGCTAGTGTAGGGTTACACCTGATAAGAGGTTATGAGTTCTGGGGGAGACTTGGGAATGCGCTGTAATTATAACCACACAAAGAATCTGTAAGCTATCTTATGATTCCGAGAGGCCGATCGGGACTTAAAGGGGATGTTCACGTTGCAGATAAGTATCACTGCGTCGTATTGTCAAGTGAATTACGAGTCTACTGTATTTAAGGCAGCGCCATACTCCTTAAAGTTGAGTCAAGAGTCGGAGACTCCGAGGCACTCTGGAGACATATCTCGGGCCGTTAAGAGATGTAATTACCAGAACATTACCGAGAGAAAAAAAATACACAACCAAGCTGCCAAATTGCAGCCGTGCCTTATCTACAGCTAACATTTTTCTGTACTGCCTCTTTAATAAATAAACCAACACTGGCCATCTGGGAATGACTAAGAGTGAGTGATCCAGAGACGCTTAGGGATGCATTACCTTACCCACTTCCTGTGATAACTCCCATATGGGAACCGAGTCACAACAGCTTATTCACCCTTCCCTGGGCTGTTTGTCTCTTGTTCACACTCTCTGTGATCATATTTGACAACAGCACATTCAGTGCGGTTGGGGATGGGGGGGGGGGGGGGGGGGTGGGGGGGCAGTCGAGGTCGACGGAGAAGTCTCTGTCAGGACACTAGCTCCGTGCTCGTGTGCGTGAGCCAACCGTCCGTCCACCAAACCTTTCCAAAAATCCTCTCTCTGCTAATGAGCACAGCTGCGGCGTAGACCGTGGTGATCTCAACTCTGGGTTTGTTATGACTTAAGCCCGACACTCCGAGGCTTCCAGTAAAAAGAAAAAAAAATAATAATAATAAAGGACTGTCTCCTAGTATTCCTCATTCCCGGCGTCTGAATTGAGAATGAAAGGCTGAATGAAGACGGGGGATCTAATGAACTGTGAGCTCTGCGCCACTTTTAATAGCATGTGTTAAAGACATTGCTATGTAAACATGCCAGAGTCCTGCTACCAGTCAGTGTCAGATGTGAAGCATGAGAATGGGGGTAAAAGTAAACAGTCAAAGGAACGGATCTGTGAGTCTCCGCGTCCTTAAATCATGTTTCTGACACTTGGTCAGGCAGAGGGATCTCGGGTACAGAAAGAAAAAAGAAAAAATGGTCCCAGAGTAGATTAGTGGACCAGACGCTCGGGTATGTTGAAAGACAGAAGGAGACGCATTGTAGCCAGAACATAGGAGCCTGGAACCCATCAAGAGAGGTCGCCGGGTTTCTGACCGTATATTAGACCGTATATAACAAATGGACATCGGGTTACAGAAGTTAAGACCTACGAGAAAAATGAATAGAAACGAAATCATTTGTAATGTCAGTTCTGATTATTCTGGAATTTTCTTTGGTTTTTACTTTCTTGACCAGGGGTGTCAAACATACGGCCTGCGGACCAAAAGCAGCCCGCTAGAGTGTTAAATCTGGCCCACTTCATAAATATCTACGCCCCTGTTATGGACACTCATTTCTAAGGTCTTAACTGATGGTTATGATGTCACTTTCTTATATACAGTCTTTGGCAAAATGACATCAAGAAATTTAAGGAAAAACAAAGAAGAAGAAGAAGAAGAAGAACTTTGTTGATCCCATGAGGGATGTTCACTACAGTGTGGCCCAGACGTACCGTTTGACGTGGTGCTGGAAGCCACCGCCTTCTCGCTGATGTCATTGCGCACTGATGAGCCCTTGGTCGCCACGATGGTCTCCACCCTCTTCTTCTTCTCAGCTGCTGAATTGGCCTGGGTTTGGTTTTCCATGGCGATGGCTCATTCCTCAGCAACTCATGGAGACGAGACACCTGGAGACGGAGAAGATGGATTCAATATGTGGAGTTATGTTTGGACCGAGTTTAGTATCAACACAGACCAAAGGTTACCTTTCTGTGTTCTACATTTCAACTGTTGCCTAACTTTAAGCTGTGTCTAAGAAGACTGTTAGCTAACTCTCAGTTTACTTGAGATACATGGGATAGCTTATTATAGCAGTAATTTGCTAAATTTTAGGTTAGCTAGTCATTAGCTGCTAAACGTATTAGGCTAATATATATATATATACAGTCTTTCTTTGTAATAACAATGTTATATAATAATTAGCTTTAGGCTAAAGCTAATTATTATATAACTGATGTGAGTTCAGTGGTGCTAACTTTTTGTTACTTGTTTGTAAATTTACTTTTTTTTGTTTGTTTAACATCCAGCACTTCTTTCTTCACGTTTTGTTTTGATTTTTTTTTTAATACTGTCTCTGTTTTTTTTTTATATTCTTCTTTTTCCAGCTAGCTTTAAATAATTTGGGTCAACCCTTCAAATACTACTGCAGCGCTGCACAAATGAAAATGAGCCCCGTCTCATTTCTGTAATCATTTGTTTCAGCCTTGCTCTGTCATACGTTAGACTTGTTTTTTTTCTTTTTTTTTTTTATCAACAGACAGCCTCAAGACAAGATTTCCACAGTGGGAACCTTGTGAGGAAAACTTCAGATCCAATCCTCTTTTTTTTTACACTGCCCAGAGCAGACCCAGGGTCAATCCAGCAGCTCTCCCTGATTTATTTTAACTCAAACCTGCTGGGCTCTGATCTGCTCATGAGTATCGGCTGTTATCCTGTCCACCCACTGAAATGTACTTATATCTGCTGTGTCACTCTGAACGTCTGACTTAAATAACAACTCTATGAAGCAGAACATGCCCACTGTATAATTTATATATATCAGAATATGGTAGGTGCAGTGATATCCAGCTGGAGAAGTATTTCCAAAGAGAAAGAAGAAACCTTAAGGGGATACCACAGAGAGAGAGGGTGAGAGAGAGAGAGAGAGAGAGAGACATTCACAGTCCTGGATGAAAAAATAAAAAGAAGAAGAAGAAGAAAAAAAACAAGCGTTGGTTGAAGGGCCTTTTGGGAATATCATGGTGCCGGGCAATTTTTCTTTCAAAGAATAGAGGTGGTTTAAGTTAATACTGTCTGTGGGTTTAGAAGGGGTTCAGCCAACAGTCTGGCAGACATGCTGCTCAGTTCAGCACCTCAGAGGCTGTCTCCAAACAGCAGCCTATCTGGGTCATGGAGGTGTCTGATTATGGAGAAAACATGGTGATACACCACGGCCCAGCGTTTACACAAAGTACAGGAGCCGCGTCTTCGGGTCCAATACGCAGCCTCTACTTAGACGCCATCATTCCTGGAAATATTTAGTCTGACCTGACATTTTCTTTCTATTAAAGAGCAGCTAATTCCCTACCTGAGCTTTTTGATTGACCCCCGCCCTATAAACACGCAGGGACACGGAGGCCGCGAGTGCAGCGTAACGCAAACAGAAGCACGCTGCAGCTAAACTAC